GAGATTTTTAAATTTTGAGCACTCTACTGAAGAAAGACAATGCACATGTATCTATGATTGGTATAGTTTGCCTACGAGGTTATTCTGCCACTAAGACAGAATAATGAATACCTGAAACAATGTTTATATGTCAATATTGTCATATCGTTTCCAGTAGATAAAATTTTTAAATTGTGCAAATTTACAGGAATCAGCTGTGTAAATCTTTTTGCTCAGTACAAATATATTCTAAAGGCTTTCCAAAGAAATACATTCCCATCTGCCTTTTGAAATACCTTCTTCGACTTACATTCAGATTTTAACATTAGTCCCATTAGAAAGACAATATCTGAAATATGAAATATCTGAAATCTACTAGCAATGTTAAGCAAGATAAATTGGCTTCTTGACATTTAAGATCTCAAAGACTGATTCAGAAGAGCATTTGCCCAAGTATCTTAAGATTATAGTTGAATTTTATGAAATTTACTATGCAGATAAAGTGATTTTTCTGAGACAATTGCATCAATGCCTCTTATAATTGCAATTATCTATAGCAACTGCTCACTCTTAGATTTTCTTTTGCTTTTAAAGCATCTTACCATGAGGTAGGACATGGTACAACATGATAGGGAAGAAGATTGCTGTGGTCGATCACAGCATGGACTCTAGTCTTAATTAGAAATAGCTAGTACAGTTAAAATGACAGCTGTTTTCTAGCTGGAACAGAATCAAAGACTCATAAAGATTGGAAAAGACCTCTAAGATTATCTAGTCCAACTGTCAAACAATAGCTAAGACTATCTTAGCTGAGGCTAAGTTATTTCCCAGTTTAAAACAACTAAACAATTTAAAACATTATGACTTGTGTCCTACTTGCAAGTAGAACTACTGTGGAAGGTCTCATGACTTGTTTGAGACCAAGACCTTAACTTTATCTTCTTGTTACACTTAATTGTACCTCCCCGTTGCACTGCTGTTTTCACAAACTAAGTTTAAACCTATAAAATGCTCAAAAATGCCATATAAGGTCATCTTCATTTCAAACAACTCTGAGGTAACAGGCCTGTCTGTGCCCTTATTCTATGGACTCTGTTGAGGAGAATTCCTGTACTTTCAGAAAAGAATTTGCACAATCAAGTAATCTACTTGTGCTGGGAATCTGATCATGCCCAATAAATAAAGATGGCATTTTCTCACTGGTGGCTCTGTCTACTATCAGAATAAATCAAAGTTTGTGTTTATACACAAAGAGAAAAACATACACTCTTATTTAGACAAATTATTTTTAAGTAAGGAAAGTAACAGGACTTTCAAAGAAAAAACAAAACACAACACCTTTGACTATTACACAGACCACTTCTGTCTCCTCAGAATGATTTACCTTTTAATCTTTACCGGAAAGAATTCAGATAAATGAGACAGAATAAGGGGTATTTTCGGAAAATGAAAGCTCAAACACCTAATGAACTCATTTTAAATTTCCTGTTTAGAGTGGTAAATCTGTATCACCTGTGTGGTAACACCTACAGAGTGACTTTTTGGGAATATTGTCTCCTTTGCCCACAGTGCCCCTTATTGAACAGTGTACAGTAGTGCCTAAGTTGAGCAACAGCCTTCATCCCCATCAAGCACTAATGCATTTTGTTATATGCTTGCCCTCCAACAGAGCAATAAGCAATGATTACCTCCACATGTTTCTTCCAAGCCAGCACAGCTATATTCACCAAACTGCATCTTATGATTACTTTACCAGAAGAGAGGAAAAAAAAGAACTGCAACATGAAAAAAACCACCAACATTGCAAGGCAAACATTCAAAATGGGTCACTGATGAGTAGAAGTCCAGCTTGAAACAAGCCTGGGTCCTAATTTCCATTAGTTTTCAGAATATGAAAGATAAAATCAAAGGGCATATTGCATATTCTGACTTTTACAACTACAGTGCAAGTTTCAATACCTCAGCTTCAAAATAGAGCTAGAGACACTGCAGACTGCATAATTCAGAACATCTCAGAACGCTGGCAAATTCCTCTGCCTCTCAAAATTTCAGCACTGCAGCCAAGGCACAAAATAAACATCATCAAGAAATATGTCCTTTTCTCCCACATGAGAATGTCCACGCTAAGAGGCTCCAATGCTCTCACACATTTAAAATGTCTATGCTAGCGTTAAGAATTATGTCATCCTCTGGTCAATGTAGAGATACTAATAGCTTTTTACAAACCTATTTCCTATTCATTTAGGACAATCTCAGTCATATATACTTTTGAGCCAAAGTTACATTGGTGAGCTCTCCATGAATCACTTCTTTCTTATTTATCATTTCAAATATTCTCTCTACTTTTTTCTTCTAAGAAAATATCACAACTCAGTTGTCTGGAAATTATTTATCTCTGCAATATTTTGGTTCTTTCACTACTACCTTTTTGTGACTAGAATGACTCAATTCTGACTCAATTATTAGTGTTGACTGGACCCTCCTCTCCATCCTAAAAACAAACAGAAACAGGCAGAGTGTGTTGTTGGAATCCTTGGCTTTGTTGCTAGCCCTTCCCCACCACCCTGGCAGAGCCAAGGGGAAATCCTGGGCAGCACTGAGCCAGCTCCTGGAGCCCTGTGCCACCACAGCACATGCATGCACTTAACTTGCACTGCACACAGTTTGGCCACAGTGTTCAGTTTATCTGTGACCCAGTAGAAATCATCTTAAAGTGAAAAGAACTTTTATTTCTGCATTGATTATAGGGTGTCAAGACCTTTGCGAAAATTTGATGGTCTAGTTTTCCTTGTACATTCTACTAATCAGAGTGAGTAACCTACGATATCAGAAAGATGGACAAGATGCAAACACTAGTGCACTTGATAAATACACTGACAAATACAGAAACATGTAAACTCATGTCAACCATTTTCTCTCTTCTGAGAGAGAGCCCCACCCTACTGAGACCTCAAGAAAAACGATCTGCCTATCCTCCACTTTGAGTTTAATCCTACATATAAAGACTCCTTCCTTTAGCAAACAACAACACTGCTTCAAAACTGTGCAAGAGACCAGTGCAGAACCCTACCACATTCCTTTCTCTGTTTGTCTTGGTGTTCCAGGTTCATGGAACTACCACCATGATGACAGAAGAATTCAATATGAATGGCACAGCAGAGTGATGTTTCATTATGAAAAATCAGTCTCCACATTCTTTGGACAACCTCTTCAGCATTCTGTTTGGTGAAATACAACTCATGCAGTATAGTCTCACATTATAAAACGTGTATTGCATACACGTGTTCTTATTTCAAAAGTAATATTTGCTGTTTCACTTGGTTCTCACAATAGGTTCAAAAATACTTTGTACTTAAAAATACACCTTATACAATAGGACAGTACAGATTGCACAGGGTGTGAAAGCATCAAGTACCTGAACACAAGCTGTGCTTTTAAGAAGTTGTTATTATTCAGCAGGTTTACTTCTCCAACAGTCATTCATGGAAGCATGATTTATATGATCATTTGAGTATCTTCACGCTTTACTGAGAAATTCCTCCCATGCTTACTCTTTTACACATACATGTTTCTTAAATAGTTCAGATGAATGTTGCATTTATCTCTTTTTCAAGAGATAAATTCGGTATCCTTCTATGACTTCATATTCTCTGAAGTCTTCCTGAATTACTAGGCAATGGCTTGGAATCAGATGTTTGTAAGGCTGTAATTCTGCCAATTTTACTGTCTATAATTATTTAATTTCAGATACAATGTCACTGATGTCAAGGAGACTAGTTGCAGGTAACGTACAATATCCATTGGCAATAAGAATGACAGATTTGGGTCTTGCCTGCTTTCCTCAAGAGGGTTTGCTGCAATGAAGATATTTTTGTTGACGGGTTTATTATTTTAGATGTAATAATTTAAGATACTAATGCACACTTCCCCTGCAGTCCCACACTATGGATTCAAAATCCATATGGACTGAAATGCGTCAAGAAAGTATAATGGATTTCTCAACATGCTGTGTTTACATACCACTTTGTTTTCAGCATGGAAAACACATTATGCCTGTGCAGAAGACTAAAAACATTGACTTTATGTTATTTTGCGTAACAGAAGGATCTCCAGATATGTACCTGTCTTAACTTTAATTTATAAATTGTTCAACTGAACATTATAAAGTTTAAAGACATTAACTGCGGGATTAGGGATATTCAGATAAACATTTGTAGACTGGCAAGATGAAAGGTGTCCCATTAAATATATAAATAGAAATATTAATATACAACAGAAAATTATAAACAATTCATTTTCAGTAATAAGCTGGGAATTCATGTATTATCATTTTATTTTGGTGCTAGTCACAGGTATCACATTATCAATCTGCTTCATCTTAATTTGTGGAAGGCATTCTGTAATACAGTATTAATATTTGCTTCCAGGAATTAGCAAAAACTTAATGATTACAATGACAGAGAAAAGTATTTTGACAGGTATTGATTTCCTAGAATAAATGATAAATCGATTAAAATTCAACAACTGTCATAATGCTTTATTTCAAGTTCTTAAACTATTACTGACCATGGCAAAAATAATATATAAGCAAATGAAATAGCAACCAGATTGCATAGATTTTAGAATTATTGTAGGTGTTCCTGTTTTCCTGACTAAATCATGGTGACTATAAATGGACATGTTATCTTTCATTCTGTCAAACATGAGAGATTTCATCATAGTCTTCCACTTGTGAGGCTGGAAGGCAGAGGAAAGCTAAGCTCTTGAAAGGTATTTCAGGATTGTTAACTATGTTTTCAGTAGAAATTATTTTTCAGAAATCTCTATACCTCTCCTCTGTGACTCAGGTAGTTGAGAGTTCTTAAAAAATTCCAGTTTGAAAATATGTAGAAAAAAGTTAGTTTCTTTATATTTCCTGGCTTCTAATGGATTGTTAATGAATTTATAAGGCAGGTCACATGCTGACAATGTGCAGCTTATAAACAGTAAATGAATGATTACTGTTAGTCTGTTTTCCTTACCTCCTTTTTTAGGGTGTCTCAAGGGGCTTGACTGATGGTCTGCGATTGACTGAGATTGGCTAATTAATTGTGAATCACTCATTTTGAATGTATTTTTTACAGTAAAGGAAGAAGCAGAAATCTCATCCCAATCCTTCTGGAATAAAGAAAGCTGTTTTAGGCATTCAAGAAACATGCTGATTTCACTCTGCCATGATAACTTATAGCTGTGATCTCACAGAGAGCAACTTTGTATTCTTCACAACTCTTTGAGAAATGACTAATGCGAGATTAAGGTTACACAAGATTCTTGTGGCTTTCAGCACCACTGACTTAGCATCCATGTCACAAACATTTGTTTATTTTTCCATTTAACTTATTTATCCCCTTTCCTCATGCAGTTTAATCATAGCATGCACTGTATGCTGATTTCCTCTCATAGTTAATTTGTATCTTTAGAAAAAAGCTATAGGAAGGTATTAATCTGCTTAACATTTCTAAGTACATCATCCAAGGGATTTTGTTTTTTTAATCTTACATATGCTCAGCAGAGTTACTGGCAAAAACTGTACATTTTCTCCATTTCATCCTTTCAACATCAAATGGTAAGCAGCAAAAATTGGATCAGACTTCAAAGACTATGCTGTGCTCCAAGTCACAGAGCGACTCCTCCATTTCACATATTGAATTCGAGCAGGATATCAAAGTGCTACCAAAGAACCTCAGGTCCTTACTAAAAAAGAGGCTCTAACATCTGTAGAAAGTGAAGTGCACAGACAAATCACCTCAGGGAGCAGCTAGCATTTATTCTCAGCAGCAAATTTCCAGCCTTTTGATTCTCTCATTCGCTGTACCTCCCTGTCTTTCTACAGAACTAAAGTTCTTAGCAAGCAGGCTTTTGTCTCAAAGACTTCAAAACATTACTAACGGTTTCATGTTCGGATGGTGATGCCAAGCAGCCATGAACACACTGCAGAACTGTGGACTCAGGAATTTGAAGTTACAATGCAACGTTATTTTAGAATACAAACTTACCAGTACCTTTTTTGTTTGTTTGTCAAGAAAATCAGGCACGACAGGAGAAGGCTGGTTACTTGTTTGCTGCCTAAAAGCAAGATTAAAAAAAAAAAAAAAAGGTAGTTTAAATACTGTAATTTCTTCATTCTCATAAAAGGCTTACTGGCATTGTTGATGCTCTTCCCCCTCCCCCAGTCACTAAATACGCACATATGATCAATTCAGAGAAAAAACAGACCGGTCCCATTTCCTTTTATAAGGAGGTGCATGTTACTAAACATGGTAACTGGCTATGAGCAATAAATTTGTCATTAAAAAATTGTGGATATGTGTATATGTGTAAAGTGAGTTTATGAGAATTCTATGAGATTGAAGTAATACGTTAAAATTAATTTTACAAGATTTAACATGAAATATTTTTTTCCTCGAGAGGCTGTGAAGAGCTGTTTTTCACACAGAAATTCAAACTTGGGCACTCAGGAAATTTGACAAAGTAGTAAGAAGTGAGACAAATGGCTTCATGCTCCCCTAAAGCTGTTTGGATTAAGTAAGAGTTCTTACATTAACTTTGTCTGTACCTTTTATTATTTTACCATACAAATATTAAAGGTCAATTTCTGCTTTCATTAAAGCTAATTGAAGTATCATAAAATCTTCTGTAAGCTCTGAAGCTTGTTGGCAGACCTTTGAAGTCAATGGATCTTCTCAATATTAAATTCTACCCAGAAAAAAACTGTTCCAGAATCTTTAGTCACGCAAAATCAAAAAAAATATTCTACCAATTTCATTCAAGAGATAACAAAACTGAGGTTGGTAAAGATTATTTGATAAGCTCATGGTCCTATAACTGGGATTAAAAGCAAGACTTTCTATTTGTCAAAACTTGCCTCAGCCATTGCATCATTAATCACCACCACTATCACAATCTTTCTGAAAATACAGTTAACTGCAGTTGTATTTCAATGGAAACACTTGGAACGTAAGCTTCAGTCATAGATTTCAGATTATGACATACATCATATTTTTTTTTTCATGGATGGCAAAAGGCTTTTTAAGGCAGCAAGCTTTTTCAGTTTAACTTCCATTTATTACAACTGAATACCTTTCCGCCCGTTCAGTCACAGCGGGAAGAGGAAATACAAAGGACAAAAATTGCTTTACTGAGTAAAAGAAAATACAATTTATGTTTCCTCAAATTTCATTTTTGTCATTACTTATACGCTGAACATAAAAGGCTCATATAAAAATAGAACAACACATTGAACTCTAAAAAACTGTCTGGACACATGCACATTTTACCTTTTAAAATGTAGCTTCTAAAAATACTTCAAACTGAAATGACATGACTGAAGGACTCGAAACATTCTAGACTATTACCTATTGGATATATTACCACATGCACATATCAGATGATATATTTATTCTAGCATATCCACAGGGCTTACTGTAATATTTAAAGCCTTATATTGCAATAGAGTTTGGGCTTTTAGATTAATTTTGTCTGAATGTGTTACAAAAGCTCAAGGGGCTGCTTGAATTGTTTCAGACTTGATCACAACAATAAAGATAGTATCATGGTAGTCAATAAGCTATTTTGGTGAGTGGAAACAATAGGAAGCATTCATGGACACAGCAAACATCAAACTTTTCTAGAATGTTGAAATTTTGTGAATGACGTTTGGATTTGCTTGTTGGGTTTGAGGCTTTTTTTTTTTCCCATTATTCACTGATGTTATGAAAGTAAAGGAAAATATTCTGACTAGGCTGTAATTCATATTTAATATTGTTTTCCTAAGGATGGAGGGATCCATTTTGAAAACACACTCTAATTTGTACTGAGACACTTCTCATACCAAAAAGAATAAAAAATGTTGAGGACTGTATTCAGCCTTGCATTTGAACATGTACAGTACTGTCTGTAAAGTTCTTTTTTGCTGTTTCTTTTGTATATATTCTCTTGTACTTAAATAACTACTTAGCAGTATTATTTAGATAACTTGCTGATTTCTCCCAAAATTACTCAAGCATTTATTGAGATGATTCTTCCCCACCACCCCACACTACAAAAAATATACCCAATATAATCTAGAAATAATGAATAAAACCCAAATATTTCTATAATGGATGTCAAAATCAAAATCTGCTCTTGAATCAGTATGTTGAAAATGGACCAAACTGCCAAATAGGAATAAATCATGATCTAAATTCAATATTCTGGTTTTGGGGTGTTTTTCATCTGGATCTAAATTTGCAGCTTGGATTAATCTTTATGTTCTATAAATAATCTAGAATTTAGTATGTTTTTGCCAGCACTTCTGCTTTGCAAGGGCTATAACATTATCCGAATGTTTAAAGCATGAAGGTTAAGTTCAGCAGTTTGCCTTCTGTACACCGTAAGCTAACAAAAATCAGCCTCTGGAATTTTGAAGCCTTAGAATCTTGATTTTCTGTCAGGATCCCAATGACATCATGTTTTTCACAACCAACAAAAAAGCTACGTGATGTGTAATTCTGCATTTCTGCATGATAAACTCTACGGGAGACCCTTCGGGGATGTTCAGGAATGCATCAGTAATGTGCAGTAGTAAGAACAGAAGTAGTTTCCTGTGTCATATTATACGATCCTCACTTTATTTATTTATGGCCAAACTGCAACAGCATGTATGGTTAAATTCTGTTCATGGATGAACCTTCTATGACTTCTGTTGGATTCTGCTGCAGAAGCATTGGAGAAGATGGCAAAAGTCTTTAAGTCCTGAGTACTTTTAATGGAACGTTAAAACAATTGAATTGAAATAAAATACAAGTTCTTGCTCTAGAACATACTAAAGGAGATCAGATCATTAATCCCATAAACTCAGTGGAAATAGGAAACTACATAGAAGCAGAGAGCATTTGTTTTCACTTGGTAGAAGATAACGCAGAGATATGGGTGCTGTTTCCAGAGATTAATTCAAATTAAGAGAAATTGTCAATTTTGTAAAACATTTTACTATCAGTCAGGAATTTATTACCATAGGCCATGAACAGGTAAGGGCAAGTACTGAGCCTCAGCTGGTAAGGGACTGTCCCCAGCAAAATAAAACAAAAAATTCCAATGAATGAATCAAAGAAACAAAAACATAACACTGCCACCAGAGCTTCCTTAATGCTGTCATGGCAGAGGAATAGACAATTTTCCTTAATCCTAAATGGTATAAAGTGGAGTCTTCATTAATAAAGAGTCACGACATTGCCATTCAGAGGAATCTCATCACAATATAGCATTAGGCAGAGAGGAACCTCATGAAATTCACTGAGAGGAAATACTATGTCCTGCACTGAAGCAACAGTAATTTAATGCATTAATATACTCTGGGCGCTAGGTGACTGGACTGGAAGTCACAGAGCTCTACTGAAAGACAGGTGTCATTTCAGGGGTCAAGCTGGCAGAGAACACTTCTGAAAACATGACATCAGAAGATGTAGAAGCTCAGAATCTTGAGCTCAGACTCAGAGATCTTTTGTGTGATACTGCCTGTCTAAACAAATGCACCATAAATGCAGTTCAGCATCAGCTAGTTCATATGAGTGAATGGGTGTTGGTGGCTAACATCTGAAAACGTGGCACCTGAGGATGTGCAGGATATTTTCAGGCATCTTTGATGAAACTATTTTCACTACGGCTTTGAAAAATTTTTACTTGCCACATTTGCAAGACAGCAGTGTTTGGGTCAAACAGATGACCCAAATGGCAGCACATTTACCTGGAAAGTTCACAAGAGATCCAGCTTTGTATGCTTGGTTTTAATCAGGCAAAACAGAAATTTGCTGCTAAATATTCACCTAAACTGTCATGCCCATGTAGTTTTTGCACTTTATCATCCTACCTTGATTATCTAAGTCTCATATGAATGTAAAGAGTTTTACTAAAATAAAAACTGTATGAGGACACACATGCTGACCAATCAAAGTTTCACTAGCTAAGCAGAGAAAGTGTAGGAGAAAAATCACAATGATTTTGAGTCAAGAAAACTAATATTGATGTAAATTATCTTTTAACAAGTGATCTTAACACACAGAACTCCACAAGAAAAGAAAAGAGCAAGGGATACTCACTGATATGATGTTACAGTTACAGACATACCTATGTGGAAACAATGCTTTCTGCCATACTACAAAGCACATGCATTGTTAAATTAACAAATGTGTGCATTTAATCAGCATTTTATACCACTTTTTAGCTGATGTCCTGCATTCATCAACTAGAGAGTGTGAACTAGGTGTAGAGATTCAATTTCATTGAAGGAATTCATTTTTTTTAAAGTGCCATTTTCCTCTAAGCACTTTGAAATTCATAACTTAGTCTTTTATATACATTATATACATTATAGTACTGAAAAGTCTTTTTTTTTTCTTTCTTAATCGATCTTTGAAAAAGTAACAGGCTTATATACATCCTGTGCATACAACAGAAAAGATCTTTATGCGATTTTCCTTTTGTATCCTGAACACTTTCCAGCTCCTTTTATATTTTCCAAAACTACTAACTAGAAAGCAAAAGAAATGAGAAGAAATTAAAAGAAATGGAAGGAAATGAAATGAAAAGAATATTTTATTATTCAACAAATCAGTTCAATGGTATGTGAAGCCACAGTGAGGCTGCCTTGTCTAGAGATAGATTACAAGCTACTGTGTTAAACATCTGCACTATTATTCACCACTATTTCTTACAGGTTTCCTGTATGACTGAACAGCCATGCACTAAAACACAAAACCCCCAAACAGCTACCAGTAGAAGAGAATCTTGATTTATGGGAAGGAAGTTATAAGATTTAGTCCTAAGATTCTGAACACCGCCTGTGAAATGCTCAACATTTTCAAGTCTCACTGAAGTCACTGGAACCTGAGGCCACTTCAGGGAAATGTATAGGATTAGGCAAATAAGCTGGAAAATTTGTTGGGTTTTAAACTGAGAATTGCCAGCAGTAGTGGCAGTTTAGCAGCTCCAGGCAAAAAAGGTATGAGTTTTATTACCTGTCTGACTGTGTACAGCAATCAGGAGTGCGTGCAAGAACTGAATAGCGAATGTTTTTTATGTGGGCATCTTCAATCTAAATATTTAAAGACATTTAAACACTGATTTCAATATAAATTCATTGTCTGAATACCGTTAGAAGTCTGTATCTTTGTGCTCCATAAAGCCCAAATTCACCTCAACAGCTACAGATCTATAAAATGCTAATGAGCCTCAAGGGATGTACAGTTGAAAAACTATATCTAATCCACAAAGATACACTTGTTTGGAAAGCAATGAGGAATCCCGGAAACAATCTAATGTACATATATACAAAACAGATGAAGAAAAAGTTTAAAGAGGTCATGTGCCTCCAAACAAGTTCAGGTGAAAGCTTCAGAACACTGAAAAAGACAAAATATTTATTTACATTGTATTTTAATTTGTAATTTTAATTTGGGTTGCCAGATAGAATTGACAACAGACAGGTTATAGGCTCTGTCTTAATGCCATTGGTGCAGACTGGAAAGCAAATAGCTATGAATAGTTCTAAGGAGATCACAAGATAGCTCCCCTCTTAAATACCTAACAGACAGAGGCTGCTGCACACACATGAAGGGAAAGCAGAATCACAAAACATGTTGACTCTGTAAGCTGTGAGGAGACCGAAGGACAGAGATATGACAGTAAATTGTAGTGTGTTCATTCTTTTCCCTGAATAACATTACCAAAAAACTGTATATACAATTTTTTTTGGTCCCTTTCCACCAGCCTGAACCTTGTTTATTTATTTATTTACTCTGAAATCAGACTACTGCAAGGGAGAAACTCTGGAATATTATTAACCTGAAAGGATACCTGGACAAAGTCATTTCATGCACTGAAGCATTTAGCAGACGTTATTCAATATAAAAAAAAAAAAAAAAATCACATGGAAATTAATGTGATGTGTTCTGAAAATACACAGAGAAAGCTGAAATACTTTCTCAGAGGAAGAGTCGATATAATTAAAAAAAATCATAACAACAAAAACAACAAACAGAAATAAGAACTGAAATTTCCTGATGTCTATCCCTCAGCAGGAGACATCTCATTGCTCTTAGTCACCAAGATCTGCTGATCAAAGGGATTCCTTCAGCCAGCACCTCTCCTATAACACTGTAGGAGAGATAGACAAGTAATAGATGGAGCAGTTCCCTTCTCTATGCAAGAAAGAGCAGGGCAATATTTGACTGAAATGACTCCACTAGTATGGAAGATCAAAATATTCTCCCTCTACAAAGAGGGAGGCACCACTACTAAGGTTTGCAGTATGCCTAGGCTGTCAGTGACTTGGCCATCTCCTTTTTGCAAGTCTTTTCCCTCATTACAACTCTGCATGAAGCTCTACAGGCACAAAAGGGTACATTTCTACTCTTGAAAATCATGCAATGCAGCCAGTCTGTGGTCAGGGGTATTCTGGGTACTTCTGAGAAGTCCACAGAAACAGGACATCAATCCAGGGCAAACAGTACTTTAAATAAATCTCACTTCTTTACCTGGGAGAATACTGAGAGGACTATGCTGGTGGGGGGACTGCTTAACCTACAGGTGATCATCTTCAGAAAATGGCAGGCTTCCTAAGCGCCAGCTGAATCATGATGACGTCTGCTCCTTTCAGATTTTACTGTGTGCAAAATCACTTCTGTAGATAACAGACAGCAAAGGATTCAACTCACCAGTGCTCTTCACAGTCAACATCAGAAGTAGAGCAGCTGCTTATATGCTGAGAATCTGCTACACAGCCAGTGCTCTTCTTCAGTCTTGGGTAGTTTTTGCGAACAATATATCCTCTGAAAGCTAAAAAACGTAATTATCAATCAGAGAAAAACTGCAGAATCTGAAACACAGACTGGCACTTGTCTCTGCAGTCCAGAGCTGAATGCTCTACTACTGGAATGTCTAAAATTTGGGTTAATGTTGTATGGGATGTAGGATATGGGATGTGGGATACAGAGCAACCTCACGCAGGATCAAAATAACAATATAGGTGACACTGGGAAAGCAGGAAGTAGAATAAATAGAGGATAGAGTAAAGAATAAATTGAGAACAAAGAAGTTGACAAAAAGATTATCGCATGCCTGATATTTTGTAAAAACAACAAAAGCGTTCTGTACACAAAAGAGGAAAAAATGCAGTACTTGGAACCTCTCATTATTACAAAATTATGGAATAATTTTTTATTCATTTTTCCTTCCATTTAATGGTGCTTAGAAACTTAACTCAGCATTCATCCTTTCATTTTGCATAAGGAAAAGATGGAGGAAAAAATAAAGCTACCCTGATCTCAGCTACTCTTTCCATAGGAAGGACTGTAATCGATCCCTTCTTTTCTATTTTAATTCATATTAATGATCTTCTTTCCAGCCATCACAAAAATGTGCATTTTTGCACTTTTATGTGCAATATAAAAAAAAAATAAATAAATAAAAAAAAAAGCATCCTAGCCATTCAAGCTGTGGTATGCAATGCACCATAACAATCTAACATTTTCAATGCCACTGATGTTTCCAGTGAAAGAAGCAGCAAAAATTGCCTTTTAATGAGAGATTACTAAAATAAATAACCATTCCCTTTACAGAAGGCATGACAGAAGCTGGACCTGCTGAGGTGTTGTACTGAATACAGAGCTCAGGTACCGTGAGGCTGAGCAACTTTCCACCCTTAATAATGAGACTGGAAAAGTCTGCCTATCTGGCAGAGATGAGGCGAGCACTCTCTTGCCCCATGTGATCAGGCTTCCAATTCTTAACTATCCCCCACTGATCAGACAAGGAACCTACCCTGCTATTGGCAGCAAAGACAGCTGGCTGGCAGCCACCTCTCTGCAGCTGAAACACGCTGAGCAGCAGTCAGTATACAGACTACTGTAAAGATAAAGAAGCACTGAAATAAATGAACTAGTAAGATAAGCAACATTTTTCTCTCTAGTAATTTCTCAGTTTCAGCAGTTGCTTTGCATGTGTGTGCATGTGTGCGTATAAAACCACCTCCATATCTCTATGATTTTTTTCTGCCAGATACTTACTAATGACAGTATAACTATTTTTTGTCTTTCGCTCATACACTACACACACTGCTTTATTTTGTTTTATAAACTTTATTTTTACTCTGAATTCTGTTTTCATAAATATTTTCAGGATCAAATCCTCTTCAATGAAACCCTTCCTTAAGCTGGCTTCTAACATTCTTTTAGAATACCTCCAATCTTACAGGTAAATGGCTGTGCTTTTCCTGTTTTCCCATTGACTCACAGGACGACTGAAGTAGAAGGGTAAACAAACATTTTTTCTGTCTCAAAAGCTTCATCAAGAATTAGTAGAACTGCATCTTTTCAGCATTTATTAACTGGATCTATAATGTTTCAAAGGAAATGCATATGCAGAGAATTCTACTGGGGGAGCCGGAGAGGTTGGGAAGCTGTTCCATCATGGCAATTTGCATTACTGACTGGTGCTGGTTTTGACACTAAGCACTTGGCTCAAAGAGTGTGAAATTAGCAGACTCATGTTGCTAGTGCTCCATGAACAATCACTGCATCATTGAAGAAGAATGATTACCAGCTGTCACCTCATTTTCACCTTATGCATTCTGTATTCCAAACTTTACAGCAACAGTATCTCTAACCCTGATCTTTACATAACCAGCTATAGCTGATTATGGACCTAAACTCAAAGCAACCTAGGAACACAGGAATCTTAGAACTTTTATTTATTTAATAGTTAGCTTATTAGAGTTAATCATTTTCTGTGACACTACTGAGGACATGACTTTTTACACTAATTTTGACTCAAAGTGATCACTCTGCAAGCTCCAGCATGTAGCAAACAAAGAACATATTTACCATAGGGAGCCTGAGATTTGGCATACCACAGTTAAAGAACTTTATTTTAAGGTCTAAGCACTGAGGCATATACATTACATGCAAAGTTACACAATTCCAAATAGCAAAAATCCAGGCATTTTTCCCTCTGATTCCCACTGGAAATCACAGTTACAGACTGAGTTGTGAAGCACAATGTAGAAAGATCAAAGCTAAATAATCATAGGTCTGTACCTGAGGCACGAAGAAAGGAGATGAAGTACTATTTTAAAACAGCAGAGGGATTCATTCTCAGTTGTAAGAAATCTTGTTAAAAAATATTTCTATATAGACATATTTTTAAGATATAACTTAAAATAGTATATAAGAACAACTTTTGAACAGAAAGCTCACGTTTGCTGAATAGAAGGAGTCATGATTATTTGTAATCAGAAATTGATTTGCTACAAACAGCATATGACCTTCTTAATTTGCCTAGATAAAAGAGCATTCAGCAGCTTAACTACCAACATCTGAGGTGATTTTGAGCCCATAAATCTGATTTTTTGCTTCATGCCAAATTAATTCCACTGAACAGTATAAGAGATGGGAAGTCGTGTCCTTTGCTAAGTCCCATGAATACTTCCCCTCTTTCACCTCTCAGTCTGGATAGATCTTGGGTGATGAATGCTTAGTAGCAGGAAAAATAACTAATGTCCTATATTCTCTGGCAGAAGCATTACAAGAATGCAGGCCTCGTTACTGATGCACATCATCACTTTGATGTATGGGTTTTAATTTTTGTGCATTGCACTAAAAAGTTCTATCTCGAGACCTGGTCAAACAAAAGAAGTATGGATGACTCTGAAACTGACTGTCAACATCAGTAATGAAAAGAAAGAAGTATTCCAAGGTCTCTTGTTCCTTTCTGATTTTACCAAGGGCATGAAATCTTGTCAGAATGGACAGGAAAAAACAAATAGAAAAAAAAAAGAATTATTTACACAAAGATTAGCTCAGAGACAGAGATAAAATACAAGACCTCATCCTTCAAAAAACTATTAAGGCCATCTCACTTTTGTTAACATGCTCCCTGCATATGAGCAGCAGGTTTTTAATGGTTACTTGGCGTACTAGAAGTGAAGACTGACTGAATGGCCTAAGCTGGTACAGGACATAAAGAGATGGAGGAGTAAAGTTAAGTAAAGCTGTGCAGCCTGTACAGTTACATCTGAATGTGAAATCAAGGTAATACAATGACTCAGTTCAGCTACCATTAAAAGAAACATATCTCTTCAGAGGTTCTTATCCTGAGAATGTTGCTAAAAGGAAGATGATGCATGACATGAAATAAAGCTGTATCTGTTACTTAGTGTTTGTTATTTTCAGGAATGATAAAAAATAGATGTGTTTCTAGATATAATAATGATGTGCTTAAAAGTATTTGGAACATTTTAATCACATAATTCATAGAACTTTACAACATTACTTGCTGAATACATGTAGCCACACATAATGCAAATTGACATTTCAAGAAATGCTTCCTTTTCTGCTATTGAAGCTGACATTAACCTTTGCTGAAAAAAATCCTGAAGGTAAAATTTTTATTAAAAAATTACAGTTGTTATAAATATGAAATAGTACATTCCAGCTGTTCTCAAGCTGTTTTTCTTATAAACAAAATAAATTTCACCTGAAGCCCACGGAAGAGATATGCAAATAGTGAGACATGCAAACACTGCATGGGAAGAAGTCATAAAAAGTATTTTGCAAAATGTTTTTTTTCCATCTGATTTCCTTCTGAACGTACGCCCCTTTTTGTTAAAAAAAAAAAAAGGAAAAGAAAAAAGAAAAAAAAAGATGTGGGTTCTGCTCTTTTTTCTCGAGTTCTTGATAAAGAATTTTCCAATACAATGTGACATATGGTGAGTGTGTGAGCACGTGTTGGAGGAGGAGACGGTGGCTCAATGGATTAGTTCATTTGCCTTTCACCTCTGGAAGCATAGTTAAACTCAGTCCTGACCAGAGTTGCACAGTATATTCCAGATGGCTAAAGTGGGCCTAATTAAAATGAATTCAGTGATGTCACCTCAGATCTAAGTGAATTGTATGCAACACTCATTTGGCATTTTGGCAACGCCACCTCACAAATGAAATAAACAGATTAAAATCCTCCTTTAAGACTTTTGGGACAAGGGTCACTCCACATAGAAATATGTGTTTTCGTAACTAGACTACACATCTTTATAATTCTATTATCTGCTTGTTTTGTGTATTATTTTCTTTTTAATTCTAATTAATGCTTTCCTCTAATTCAAAGAAACATTAAATGAGACTTGCATGTGAGACAGACCAGCAGAGCAACATTTCAGCCAGATGATTCAATGGTCAAACACTGATTTACACCAGGTGTGAATCTGGCAAAAATAATTTTAAAAAATATTTTATTTTAATAAAAATCTTTTTCATTTTACATAGACATAAATCCAAACAATTCAAATCCCAATTACAAAGAAATACTTACACCAAAGAGCAAAGTGTTACTAGTGTGAAAACTTCACATGAAATAATTCTTCACAGTTCCCCTCTCATCATGGCCTCAATGATACAGTTTGGGAAAGCCGGAGGAAATAAGAAAGGACTTGTGTAACCTGGATACCATTTCCCATCTCATAAAATCTGTACATTCTGAAAACCTGTAGCGTAGATATGCTGAAGACAGACAGCTTTTCCTTCCTCAGCTAATTTAAATTCACAAATATTTTGTCTACTAGCTAGAGTGTTTCCCTTATCTGAAATAATGACTTTTTTTTGTGTGTGTGTAATATTATACACTTAGGAAATGTATCCTCAAGTATATTGTGAAGGGTTTTTTTTTTTTCTAAGTTTGTTTTTTCTTTCAACATTTCATCAATGGATAGCAAACTGCTGGGCCCACAGAGATCTCCAGACCACCAGCTCATGTATTTGAAAGGCATCTGTTTATTTTTAAAATGCAAATGTAGCCTACCTCAAAGACTGACTTGCAAGAAATGAACAATCTGAACAAGTCAAGAGGTTTCCAATCAGGAGCTGTGTTCCTCCTTTATATCAGGCTATGATCACTTGCTGTCAAAACCACTTAAACAATATCCTGGAATCTGAATGAAGTCCCCCCACAAATAAAATGAGCAGGATAATCCTGCAAGAATTATTCAGGCAAATCATTTTTCACACAGTTTAAAGTAATGATAAGGTCATTTACAAAAGAAATCAGCGCCTTTGAAATGCTGACTTGTAGACAGAGGACTGCCTGGAGGAGGGCCATAGATAACAGTGAAGACTGGCCTCCTAACACTACCCTCGCAGTCTTTGGAACTGATTCTGATGAAGAGAAGGCCCAATAAGGTTAATACCCCTACTTTGATCTCTGTCAAAGCGTACCAGCAAGAATTAATTTACATTTCAGATGAAAAAGGTTGACAGCATGAAAAGGCATCTTGTTTCTGGTATGTGAATGTGCTGTAATAGATCGGGAATTCTGAAAGGAAGTTCTGAGGAAGCTAAAGGGATAAGCCGAGCGGCTGCTTTTATTGGGAAAGAGATGAAAGGAAAACAAATTTCAATATGTGCTGTTCTGTAAAAACATGTAAGCCAAATGCTTCCTAAATTTCAAGGCCTGCTTGAAGGCTGAGGATGGGGGAGGGAGAGGAGGAAGAAGGAGAGGGAAGTACATTTATTTTAATTATACGGTTTTGCTAATGTCTGGATGACAAATGCCAACAATATATCTCTCTGCCTGAAATGATTCATTTAAAAAAAATGCAAAGGTGATCACAGTCCTTTTTACTGAAAAGCTGCCTTGAAATATACACTTACATTATGAGATGTACAGAGAAGGCAGAGATTTGGGCTTGCTTTTGTTCCCATGTCACTAAGCACTTTGGCAGTGTAATGTAAACAAGAGAAGGACGTCTGTGTATTTTAAAAGCAGGAAAATGGCTGCCATTCACAAGCATGAGCTTTGATTATAAACACTGAATGATTAACATGTAGAGAAGAAGAAATGGTGCAAGAAGAGTTTTCAAATATGAGGTCCTAGATATAGATTCCAAAGGCAGAAACATGCTGGGGATTATTATTATTATACCTCATTGAGTGCAGTGCCAAAGACAGGAGGAGCAGTCAGCGTAATTAATACAGAGGTGCATGTGTCACTCTGTCACTCTTAACCTACAGTCCTAATGCTCATTCACCCAGACTGATCACTGAAACTGTCAAGTGCCAGGTTACAAAGGCAGGCAGTGTGTCTGTTGGTTGGAAGAGCGCTAATAGCATTCCTCCAGCATTAGGTCCAGAGGACAGAAGCGTCCAAATACAAGGATGTGTACAATCCCACTGCCTCTGCTCTGCCATGCTCAATGCAGCATCTCAGAGATGACAGGAAGGAACACAGCTCTGAATCTGTTCCATGTGTGCAAACAGCAGAATAGATCAGTCACTTTTTCTAAAGCATTGGTAATATGCATGCACCTCCTACATGCCTAAGAAATCTAGCTGAATAAAATTCTAAGGCCAAATATCCCCTACAGCCTCTGAGTAATATTGCTACACACCAACTCCCAATGAAATCTGAGATCACTTTCCCACTATTAACAGTTTTTAAGAGGAGAGTTAAGGGTCAACCATTTTACTTTCCTTTTTATGACAAAATGACATTGTAAAAGTCAGGAAATCCTAGTGCAGGTATGGACAAGCATAAATGTAGTGAATACTCCAGAAAGCAGTTGCATGTGGTTCTTTAAATCTGGTCATCATGAATAAAATAAATGACAACACAAAGGAGCGGAAGAAGGGGAGAGAACGCTCATGCAGTTCCTCAGTGCTTGCAGTAATAGGAAAAAAAAAAAATCTTCTTAACTGTTCTCCATTTAATAAAATGATCTGCATTTAACTCTAGAGCTATGGTTTATGATTATACATAACAGTATGCACACTAAGCTATAAATTACTATCTTAACCTAATGATAATCTGTTCCTTTTTGTAACCAGATTGGTATTCTTCTGTTTTCTGCTCAAAGTCATTCTGAAGCTTATTTTCAGAGTAGAAAACTTAAAAGAAAAAAAAAAGTTGGATTTAGTGGAAATGGCTTAAGAAGAGAACAAAGCAAAGGAATATTTATAATTACTCTATTATGGATTGACTTTAGGTTATATGACTCAAAATAGAGAGGTTACAAACTTTAAGGACCTATGATAGCAGAGGCAAAATAAAGGTGGTGCCATGATTTACCTGTAAACACATTAGCTACAGCTCATTTTTGATCAGGTATAGTCTCTCACCTGGGGTTGGACAGGAAAGGTGTGCTACACTGCATCATATGGAGGCTGCTTCACTCTGGCAGCATGTGAAAACATCACTGAGTTCACAGCAGTGGTTCTTAGATTTCTATGCCATATGGTACCCTGCTCTCTACTAGAGACCTGCACAGCCCTATGGGCCTGTTCCTCCAACAATCTCTTTAAAGTTCATTCAAATTCACGTTGATATGGCTGCATAGGAGTCTGGCAGAGAGTCAGAGATTGGCCAAAGCTAGCAAACTCAGCATGCAATCAAAAGGGAAACTTGGCTATCCACCAAGATTGGTACTTGACAAAGGCAGAGAAATGCATGTCCAGTGCATCCAATCCACACTTGTAGTCAAACAAATTCAGTGCTTCATTCCAGCTCTGCACAAGACTGAATCATATTGATTGTGCTGAGAAGAATCTTAAAGAATTAACAGCTTTTATTCGGTATGTTCCAGAAAGGTACTCAGAAAAATCTCAGAAAAAGTGTCATAACTGTCACAGATGTCATTTGATAGTGAAGAACAAGTGACGAGAAGCAATGCTTTTGACAGATTTCATTTGAACTGTATTTCTCTTGGTTATAAACACTGACACATGAAATCACCCACAGCAAAATAGGTATTGGCAACTAAAATAATGTTTTAATTACCTGCTTGAATATGTATAGCAGCATTATTTCTTCTGTTCCTTATTTCCTTGTACTTCCTGCGAGCTTCATATCCTCTCCAAGCTAAAAATACAAAACCATGTGCTGGAAATTACATTTATTTAAGGAAGTGCTACAGAGTCTACGGAGTTCGAGATGTGCTGAAACTTCCATTCCTCCTGCCACAACCACTCCAGCCCCCACCTCCAGTACCTCCTCCTCACCCACCCACATGTTGAACTCTGAGTTCATGACTGCAGTACTCTCATCCCTGCAACTTCAAACGCTGCTTTACTCGTCCAAATTTTAATTGTCACCATGTGCTTGCTGATGTCCTAATCCAGAAGGCAAAGGTGCATGATAATTGTGCATCATCAGTCAGCACAAGAACTCCCCTTCTCACATAACTCCCCAAATTCAATATAAAAAACCCTGCTAGATTACTGGTAATCAGCCTTTTGGGCCCACCCCATAACTTATGTTATCTGTAAGTGTGGTGCACATAAGAAGGCAAAGGGGGAAGAGAGGGAGGAGAGCCAAGATGCTGTGTTTTATCTATGTGCTGCAAGCTAGTGTAGATGCACCTAACAATATTTTCCATTTATGTACAGGCATCATATCCAAAATACTAAAATATTTTAAATAATTACATTACTGAAAGCTAAGACAACATCTTGAAGTAAATCAGTAATATTTGCATCAATTAACTGAAGAGAAAAGTACCTCCCATTATTTTGATTTCATATAAACTATTATGAATGAATAAATATTGTACACATAATTTAACATCTTGAAATGCCAAGTTACTCAATGAAATAGGAAATGTGAATATTTACCTGACTGTATGGTAACAGCACTATTTTCTCTTTTTTCCTTGACTTTCTTATACCTCCTTGCTCCAAGCCATCCCTTGATATAAGCCTGCATGACCACCACCCTCCCTATAACTTCTCGCAGGAACAAGTTTAATTGCTCTATATGGTAATACTTTAGAAAAACCTGAAACAGAACAACAAATTCAGTATTACACACAGGTAGCAGCACAACGTATAGTATTTTGCCTTTTTGTAAGCCTCATATTGGCCTGCTTCAGAGCACTTTCTGGGAAAGCTCATAAAATACTAGTTGCTGGGTTTTTTTTTTTTTTTAGCAATTTTGTGAATTAAATAATTTCCTTTCAGTGTGATGGGGGATCTTCATTATTCCACTGAATACGATCACCCCATTGCAAAATAAACCACTTATTTTTGCCCTTAAGAAAGTAAACTGGTGAGAGGGAAGCTTTCATGTATCAATAGTTTTAAAATACAGACTTTCTTAACAGTTGGGTGATTAAATTTGGACTACATTTGTTTTAGACAATACTGTCTAAAAACACTGCTTCAAGAGGCAAATACTACGGGTAGTTAGACACACTTTATCTCCTTGTTTTTCCTTCGTGCACAATAAAACAACTCAGGATACAACATAACTTTCTTTTTACAGAAGTCAGCCAGACCATTTTAAGCCACGATCAAAGGCTCTTCTATCAAAGAGCCAGAAAAAATCTCATCTGAAACTCCACAGATGATGTACTAACCAGACCCACAGAACAGGCCAGAGTGTAAAGTTTCAGTCATGTCATGATTAATAGAAGCATCTTCAGGACACTATCACAGCAGGCACTGACAGATGTACCATCTTTATCAAGGCAGCCACGTGCAGACTACACTCTGGGGAGGTAGCCAATGCACCTTTTCTCCGGTAGCACAAACTAATCTGGCTTGGAAAGGCACCTCTGTTATCTAGAAGGCTAACTAACTGGAATAAATTCCTTGCTCACTTGTTAATTCACTCAGTAATTTGCAAACCACTGTTAGACAAGCTTTGCTACAGGGACACTATCCTAGAGAAAACATTAGTGTTCTTTACCTTGGTTTTTCCAAGAATCCAGTTTTCTAGTTTAGCTTTCTCCAAAATGGTCAGACAGTTTTCTCTGTTGCCAAGTGGAGACTCATGTGCCTTGAAAGCAAGGTAGTAATACCTGCAAAACAAAATGACAAAGAAAAAGCTGACTTGGCAACAAACATGTACTTCCATTGCTACTCTCTAGCTCAGAGATGAAACTCCAGAATTAATGGAAATATTTCTAAGATATACTATTTGTGACCGGAGGCCCATTTCTCATGAAAAATGTCCTTAAAGTGTATTTCATCAGTAGAATCCTGCAGTATGTTAGCGTATAATCAATGCATATACAGATGTTATAATTATGAAATATACCAGAGTTTTGCTAAGCCAAATAATAACCAAATAAGGTTATTATACCAAAAGAGAATAGATAGAATGCTCACCCGTGTCCTGGGCTCGCTGTAAAACTCCAAAGGAGGGATCTCCAGAAAGAGATCCTTCCCTACAGGTAGTCAGCTCTTAAATAGGTCTAGGAGAGGTGGAGAAGGCTCCACCCCTTCCGGCAGCACAGGTGAATTCCTTCACCTGTGCTTCCAGCGCTGATTCATTGTTCACCTCAGGTGATCAATCAGAGGTTCAGCCTGTGATTCAGTAGTTCCCATACAGTTAGTTACTGGTATTGGTAATTTTTCACAAAGAAGTATAAGTTGCCTTGACATTCGTTGGGAAACAGGGGTCCACATCCAAGGACTCTTGAGCTGGTAACAAGACCACCCTGTCAATGATGACACCTAAGTAATATTCATTTGCAGTATTTCAAACAGAGAGACTGCAGATTCTCAGTCTGTGAAGAAAAAGGCCAGCACTAATAGGGCAGGCAGCACACAGTCTGTATCAGTGATACTGACTGATTATATATGCTGAGAGGCTGCTACCATGTGCAAAGAATAAAGATTAGTTTACAGGAAAAACAATTCTCATATCAATCTTAATTTACAGACAGCAGGATGTTCAGACTGCTTGACATCTGAATTTCGTGTTTCCAGGAAGAGGTCATATATATGCACAATTAAAACAATTGGCACTGCTATCTTATTGGCAAGGATCTTATTAGAGCTGGTGGTTAAACAAAACTAGTAGCAATTTTAAAGAAAAAAATAAAACGAACTACTCTTCATTCAAATTAAACAATTTTTGATAGGTACAAGGATTTCTATGGTTATGTAAGTCCTTAGACATTTTGCCTTTTTTCTGTTTGATTGGGATAATCAGTCAATGGAAATTATTATGATAACTCTAGTGGCCTTCAGATCAGGCCCATAGTAAACAACCTTGACTTTTGTTTTGTCCACGATCTCAAAAAGAACAGCCCTGAGAATTACGTGAAATAAAATTACGGTGCAAAAAGATAACAGAAAAGAGATGCGTACTTGTTTGAACTGAACAGACATGAGAAATGACTGTAACAAGCCATGCTTGTAAAGCCACCATTTGTTCATGAAGGACAATTTTATAGTATTCAAGTAACTCTATTTGCAAACGATCATGTTACATAACAGCAAGAATACTGGCTAGCTAGTTTACAAGTTCAAGGTTATTTTACCACAAGTACACAGTTAGACAGTAGCAACTGCCACCTCAGCTCTCATTTATGAACCATCATGTTTCTTCTTTAAGTTTCACTTCTGCAGGAGCTACTCTATTTACATTGCTTTTGAAAGGAATTGGCAGGTTCAGCAAACTGATCTCCTAATTACTAGAATGGGGAAGAACCATCACATAGTCCTTAGAATAAAGAGAGGAATCTGACTAGTGTATCTCAAAGACAGATTCCTCTTGTAGCCACATAAAGGCAAGCAAAAAATTCTACCTCATACTGAAAAAAAAAAAAATACTGAGAAGCAATTATAAAGAATGGAATAGTGCAAGTTTGTGGGTTTTTTTGTGGTTTTTTTTTTTTTTTTTTTTTTTTAATCAGGAGAATATGATTTTTAAATATTAGCTCCAGTTAATCTCTAGAGATTAGCTCCAGTTGTCACAAGAAAGAAAAAAGAACCATTAAAATAGTCAATAAAGATCAAAGGGGAACAAAATGATGTCTGAAGGCATTGGAATCTGTCCTGAACTGGAGAGACAGATATTCACCAACTGGAGATATTGCCCACTCTGAATAATGACAGGAGATTATGTGTTACTGAGTTAAGGTTTTTTAATGTAGTCATTTTCTCAGTAAGATGATATTGCAAATTATTTAGCAATAATATTTAGTCTTTCAAAGTACCAACAGTCATGGCATTTAGCAGGTATGGAGAAACGTGGTGGATTTAAAAGAAAAGATGCACATTTCCTCTACTTTACTGTTAAACTTAATGAGACGTGATTTTGCAAGACAGCATTCTGACTTGCACTGATAGAACTCAGATATAAAATATGCATATCCCAAACAATTTGTGATAGTTTGCAGTTTCAACATGCACTTGACAGACATGTCAGAGAAGTTGCATCAGTAGTAAATTGCTGATTGCTACAAAAGCTAGTTCAGATTAGCCTTGGAATTTATACATATGTGTAACTTAAGTGGTTTGTTTCTTTTCCTAGAGGGAAGGAAAGGTTCAAATCTATGCTATTATCAGCTTTTTGCACGTTTGTGTATCTTTTAAGACATGTTGTAGCTGGGAATTTTAAAATCATTGAACAATATTTAGATAGCACAGGTGCAGTAAAATAGTCCACAATTTTTAAATTTTACAATCTTATCAGTGACAAGCAAATGCTTTGTTTTCTAGCACTGCCTGTTTTCATGGCTAAGTCACTAACTACAAACACACAAGTAGTTTGATTTGTGCTTAGGATAACCGTATCACAACATAGCATGTGCCATGTAGGGCTATCTAATTTACGAAATTTAAGATCTTTGTATGGCAACAAAACACATGTAATATTTCTGAGGAAGATAAAATCTTTCACCTTAGTGCATCTGGTGAATATCTGCAAATATTATACATGGTGAAATGGTAGTGAAAATGTCTAGTTGTGCAGCCAAAGCTTTGGGCAATATACAATTACAACTCTGTTCATTTTGATCTACTGGCCTAAGAACATCTCTATCATGCTTACATAACTCTGCTGTACAGAGTCCACAAAGAGAGTGAACTCTATTTACATGATTTTATTAAGAGAAGAAAATAGATCCTTAAATGGAGAAATGTAGGGCTAGAAATCACATGCACTTCCACATGAGAATAAAGATTTGCAACTTATTTTTTTATTTGTATATTTGCATTTGTTCTAGCAGACAATGCAGTGGTCCAAAACACTCTGTCTATATTAAGCCAATACTTTTATTTCTGTTTTTAAAAATTAAGTTTATAGTCTTTCATTTGTTGTTACATAGGCATGGAAGGTCTTAATGAGTAATGAGAAATTTAGGACTACTGAAAAAAAAGAACAGGTAATTTCATTGTAACACACACTAACATATTCAGACATTCACAATATTATGTCTTAAATGCACAGAAATACTCATCAAGGACACAGGTTATGGAATCTTCTACCTTGAAGTATTTTGAATTCGAGATGAAGAAACAGTTTTACCCTTTGTTTTGGAAATAAATACAAGACTGAAATAAAGACTTAAGTAGATAAGAAAGAATGATAGTCTCACTCCCAGGGCAGCTTGCTAAACTAGCTGTAGATTAAAGTAATTCTGTGCTTGGTCTATACATAAGGTACCACCTAAACGGGATCTTTGCACTACTTCACTGCATTTAAATAGAATAAGAACCATAAAGGCCATTACAAACCACTTTGCATAAGATTGGAGACATACTCCAGTATGTTGTAAGATGTTCTTTGGATGCAAATGGTTACTCTTACTAACGCTACTGAAGATATGAGTGATGACAGAGAAATGACCACCTGGCTGAAATTAAGAAACTGTAGCATTCCCATGTAACCAGTACTACTGTTTTAAGTACAACATGGTTTCATTTGTTTTGAAATAAAGACAGTAAATTCCTAAGTGCCATACTGACGCAAAACAACAATTCTTTTAAATTATCTACCCTGCTTGAAAATTTCCTACACATGAAATATTCAACTATATGTATCCTAAAAGCATTTGACTGATCACATTCTCAGCAGCAAGGAGTAAAAGAGAAGTAATTTCACCTCAAAAGAACTGATTTCTCAGTAGATGAAACTTGTTTGAAATTATATATTTCTTAACCATTGGTTCTTATATTAGCTCTACAAATGGTCCTGCATGGATGTTAATATTCTCATGCAAAACATATATTAGAGCAGGATTAGCTTGGACTTAACAGTAATTAGAGACAAAAGGAAGTTCATTAGAAGTTGAATTTATCCCCAGATGAACAAATACAAAGCTGGGACATGCAGAGTTAAAGACATCCAAGTGTACTGAGACACAGAAAACATCATCAGATTGCTGCTGTGTGTTAATTGTCTGACTTATGTAAGGTTTTACCTTAGACAAACAGATTGTAAACAGTTCAATTTCTCTCCTCTCCAATCCTTAGGGCTGAATTGTGGAACAAATCAATAAATAGCACTTAAACAGCACCATTAACTATTATAACAGTGCCTCTTACCAAAATTCCCTTTGCATTCCAGACCTAAAGGCTCTGTAAGTTCTACACACCAAGGTAACGATTAACAGTTTTCGTCTTTAAAAGGAATATTTGTATTAAAATATTCTGGCCTGAGGTGGAGAATGGGCAATGACATATGAAAACCTTGAGGTGTGAGAAGGAGAAAATCTCTTTCTAACTACACCCCCAGCTACAAAAGGGCTATTCTCAGTATTCCAAAAATGCTTGTTTCTTCTCAGGCCTAGAAATGGAAAGTTAAAAATACAAACGAAAGAACCATCATAGTTTTGAGCACTGAAAGAGCCTGTAGATAACTTTCAAGAATTCCCAGCTTATATTTGTTGCATCTTACCTCTTTTAGAGGCTTCCCCAGTAAATTGTATAAAACTGATTACATTGGACTCTGCAGTAAGAGTTTGAATCGAAAAATGTAACTGAAATGTAAGTGAAAAAAACATTTACGAGACTCTTAGGAAACATCTACGAAAATTTTCAGTAGAAAATACCTAAAGCATGCTGTCAATCATCAAATAACCATAGAACCACAGAAATACTCCCCCAAAAAGCATATTTTGGTCCATTCTGTATTTATAACTTGTAAGGGATTAATCGTAGAGATTTCAAACCTCTTTCATCCCACAACTGTTTACCAGCATTCTGTGGATGTGAAGAAAGAAGATGTGGAAGATACAGTAGTTTATCATACATAAAATGTAAAGTGTATGCAGATCTGGTGAAATCTTAAATCCATTGAAAGAAACAAACACTTCCATGGCTTATAGAAAATTAAAATAAGGTGAATGGCAATGTATTTTCTCTAGAATTCACTCGAGGGTTTTAATACAAAGCAGACTCTGTTAAAAGGGAGAATTCAGTAAGAATGCACTATTTTAACAGTAAGTATTATTTTCTGTCTAGCAAATCAGACTTCTAATTTAATACAGGGCTTCCCTTATTATGAATAATAAACAAGCCTATCACCACTGGCAGAAGAAATGTAACACTGAGAATTCAGAGACTGAGTTGGTGTCAGGTGTACCAACAGAGACATCATGCAAATTTACACTGAAAATTCTTTTAGAAATAGAAGAACCAATCATATTGGGATAATTGTTACAGAAATATTACTGGTATTGCCATGAGTGTATGTTCTGAATGACATTATCTCTCTATTAAAGAGGAGGTAGCACTCCTAGGAAAACTGCATCCTGAGTTCTAATGCAGTACAAAGAACTTCAACACAGAACATAAACTGTCAGAGAAATAAAAGGAAAAAAAAATACAATCCTTACATGAAACTTATACAAAACTTCTCAACACATTCCTGTGTGCTTACAAAGTGCCTGAAGCCTGACACCATTTAGCACCATGAGATGCTCAAGTCTCTTATATTTCAAAACATGATATAGCATATGCTCCATTACACAGAAAGTATATACAGGACAGGTATATGCAGTAAGGACACACCTGCAGATCATGTCAGAGGCTTAGGCACTGGAATACAGGAAATAGTGTCTCATCTAATGGGAATTTCAATGTAGGTCCCTAGTAAAAATGTGCACTTTCCTTAGCTGCTGTGCAGTGCATGGTCACTATGCAGTCCTGCAAGCCAGGCCCATCTTGCTGCCTGATCACCTTAATAACCTGTATCTGAAGCCTGGGATCACAGCCTGAGAAAGGGACCACAGAGTTCCACAGAAAACTTGTAAGACAGACTTGTGACAATATGGGATGTGAAAACACAGCAAATGGAGATGAACTGCTGAAAACTTGATAGATTCAGAGCATTTACAAGGGTTGTAAATTAGATTTCAGTACTTCAATTAAAATAATCTCTTTGTTTATACATGTGAAACACATGATTCTATCTTTGGCTACAGTACCATTGTACGAATAAGTTACAATTAAGACTGCTTCTCACCATCTGTTTTTTATCCCAATAAACTAAATTCCAGGTTTGCAACCTGTGAAATAATGTGCATGAAAACAGAAGACGGTAAAGAGTAACATTACAAAGCTTTATCTTTTGTTTACTTCCCAGCTGATAAACTCTGAATGGTTCTGTTCCCTGCCTTTGACTGTTTTGTCCTCATATTTCCTGCTAAGAGTTTACAAAACAGCATTATTGAACAGGCAGACAAGAAGCACACCTATTTGTTTAATAACATCAAGGGAGAAAAAGTGCTGGCTCATCCGTTTTGTTGTTAAGTTGTTCAAAAGGATCAAAATACCAATTAACTTGCTCGCTTAGAAAATCTTTGATATCCTCAGATTTACTGACATTTTGAAATTCTTGTTCATACTTGCCTAATGTCTTTTTGATTATGAACAAAGAAGTGCCAATCTGTTTAGCATTTGACCTGTTTTCTCAAACATTTTTATGTATTCAACTACTTAGTTCCTAAAAACACTTGACTAGTCATGGCTGTAAGTGGAAGAAAAATGTTTTCTGTTCCACTGATATCTTTTTTATACATTGTTCGTTATTTTTTTTCAAGAATATAATGGAATAGAATTTGTTTAAAAATGATGCATAAACTGAACAAAGGAGAAAGAATTGCCTGACTCACTTTATATTCTGAACTCAGTCAAAAGCCTTCTATGCTGGTGGGCAAACTGCTAACTCACCTCCCAAGTCTCTTATATTGTCTTTCTTCTCTGAATGAATTACACCAGATTGGACTTAAAACTTGGGGGCTATCAAAAAAGATGTTAAACACAAATTGCCCTTATCTGTAGGAATGGAAAGCTATAGTTACCATTGCTTTTATTACCATTAATTTTCAAGATTGTACTCAGATTCTGTGCATTTTTAAATAAGAAAAAATCTATTGATAGGAAGAGGCCTAATTTCTTCTCAATTTACATCAATTTCAAAGAAATTAATCTTTGTTCACTTATATGCAGATAAAATTTCAGGCTCTTCGTGATGTTGCAAAACATGTAAGCTATCAGAAAAATTAATCTTTTTGCTCAAGCTGCTTTAAAATTGTATGACCTTACTAAAATTAGCCACATAACACACAAATTAAAGGTGGAGGGAAATTGTGTCTGAAAATTAAATTGCTTTGATGGACAAATGAGCATTTTAGTTATCCTTCCTGGGATACAAATCTCTTATGTATTTCTGCTACATATTCCTTTAGCATCCTCATATATTACAAATCAGAAAATTCAGTAATTTTTCAGAATGAATTGATTAAACTACAGTTTATTGGTCTACATCTGTCTGTGCAAGAACCACAGGCACACAAACTCAAATGACTTATCTACAGACATGTACATTTTCTTAGTTTCTGGATTTCTGGAAAGGCTTGTGGAACTCTGTCTTCTTTCTCAAAAACATAATCAGCTACTTCCATCTAGTATTATATGATTTTTTTTTAATTTTTTTTTTTTTTTTTTCCCAGTAGATTCATTAACTCTGTGCTCTCTGGATCTCCACTACCACCTAGTATTATATGATTTTTTTATTATTATTATTATTATTTTTTCCAGTAGATTCATTAACTCTTTGCTCTCTGGATCTCCAGTACAGGAGATAGTAATGAAGGGTCAAGTACAGCCATTTGCTACTTGTTCCTACTTTCAAGGAACCAACTGCTTAAAGTTACTGCTTCTGTTTCATTATTGAATTATCAGCCTTACAGACTAGAAAAAAGTAAATAATACATAGAAAAATATTTTAGCTCCAAAGGAAGCCATATAAACACTGTATAAGCAGATTGTCATTATAAAGACAACCGCAATTCCTGAATCAGATTTATAACTTCTTGATACACAGATCCTTTCAGTAATCAAACTAGTATATAGTAGCCATGAGAAGGGTTCAAGTCAACAGATATCTGGTTATAATTCATGCTGAATCCAAGACACATGACCACGAAGAAGCTTTTAGGAGGAATATTCTAGTTAGAGAACTTCTGTGTACACAAATGTTTTTCTCCAGTTACACCTGCATTTTACATCTCTTCATTACTAGGCTAATGTCAGTGTACAGACATAAGCTACTGACATTCCTACTAACTAGTCTTGCTCCAGAGCAGAAACAGTTTTTTCAGTTGAATTTTCATGCTTCCTGAGTTGATAAAAAAATAAGGAAAGGTTGAGGGGGAAGAGAAAAAGGGATGAAAGGGTTGTAAAATGGGGAAAAGGAGAGGCAAACATTCTTATATGTTATGTCTCTACATGGGAACTACTCCAGTATGACACAGATTTGAAATTATGCCTTACATTTTTCCAGTATGACTTCTCTACACACTAAGGGATGTAATAAATCAAATCTGGAATGTTATTCACAAGAATATTTTAAACCATTTTTTCCAATGTTTTATGTTTGAAATCCATATTGATGAAAAATTCTCTGGAATATTTCTAGCTTTTTTTTCTGATTTAATTAATATTTTCAAGCTTGAAGTTAATACTCTTCTCAGAGAGTTGCTCTTTTTTTTTAACAGTTCTTTTATATCAGCTCCTTCTTAAGCATGTGGATCTTATTAAAATGAAGACATTCACTGACCTTTCAAATCCTTGTATTGTCTGAGCATGATGCTTATTGCCACATGTTGCCTCTGCTGCAGAAATCATAGGGATGGTCTTGCTACTGAATACTAACTGCTCACTGCAGTTCTCCCTGTCCTTCTCTTTATCACTCTTGTAGTTTTTATATGATAGTTACCGCTTTTATTAGAATAACACAGACCATACATGTACAAACCAATGTTTTTAGAACTTCTCATACTTGAAGATACAATATATTTTGTTGAATTTTAAAATGGCAGTCATGCTATTGAAGTCTCACCTTTTCACAAACTCTTCAAAAAGAATGCGATGAGAATATCCTTTTTGACGTATTTTGACAGTTTCCAGAATTCCAGTGTATCGTAGCTGCAGTAGAACTCTCTCATGAGAAAACGTTAGTGCTTCTCGATCATCATTAGGTTTAATGCAGCGGATAAAGTGAGGCTGTCCAACAACCATTTTGGATAGAAGATCCATGAGGGAATACTAGTGAAGGAAAAGAGATACAGAGACTTGTCTAAAAAAACTGCAATTCAATTATATAAATAGGAAATATATTTTGTAAGCAGTATGGAATGATTGATTATATGTTAATCTGTCATGACAATGCTAATCGGTATTCAAGTTTTTATTTCTTTCAGCTTTTGGCTGAAATCCAGAATCTATTAAAAGCTTTTATCTGTTAAACACAAATTATGATTCTAGTTCTACTTACCCTATTCTCTTCACCTCTCCTTATATTACCTTCTTGTAGTTTAAGAAAGCTCATATTGAAATTTTTAATTGAAAAGTGTCCCAACTATAACTCTGTTGTAGGCACATTTGATCAAACAGTTATCCCCAACAGGAGAATAAGCTTACTGTAAAACAAACAATCATGTAAGAATCACAGAAAACCATGGAGATGGGGTTGAATGAAGCTACCGGTTTAGTACTTTGCCCACAAAGAGCACTGAATGTATCTGTATCATTTCAGGCACATCTCTGAGGAATCTTTTTGTCAGAATCACTGCTACAGACTGCATACTCTCCCAGGGTAATCCACTGAAGTGCCACATTATTGTAATTCAGAATGTTCTTAGCATCTAACCTGAATATTCCTGCTGAAACATGGGCCCATTACTTCTTGCCCTAACTAACCTGTACATTGAATATAGTTTATTTCATTGCATGAAAATATTTCTGCTTCATTCTTACCTCGTTATCCCACTGTCTGATCAGAATTTGCTGCAAATACACTCAATCTCAATGCTGCATACAATTCCAAGCTGACTGGATCTGAGTGTGGTCACTTGGTTGTAGGCTGCATTCAGACAGCAGATGAGTATTTTCAGACTCACTATCTATTTATTTTTTTAGTCCCTTACTTTCCTCTTTGATCTAACAACTCCATATACATTTCAGGAATATCTATTGTTCTTATAATCAGAATATTTGTTTACAGTTTAACTGCTGTACCCTAAAATAGGAAGCCATAGTTTGTCGCTTCATGTTAGTTGTTTCCTCAGGGTGTCGCATAACCTCCATTGTGTCAACCTGGAAGACAAAACTCAGATGTTAGATCTGTTGCAGAAACACTGCACACCCACCCCACCTCATTCACACAAGCTAGGCTTGATGTTTCTTCTGGTCATTCTTTCAGGTGACCACATTCCTAGCATCTTTGGGAAAGGTACACAATGAGCAGTCTGCCAGCCAGCAGCAGATTCTCTCATTAGTACTTTTCACCATAAAGTTGTTTGTGAGATACATCATGGCTGTCACAGGCAGCAGTATCACTTTTTAATTTCATTATATGCCTTGAGACAGGTCAAGCAGTAAGCATAACACATTAAAAAACTGCATGTCATGTCTCCTTTTCTCTTTAAATTATGCCTCAATACATATTTCATCAAGGAAGCAGTAATGTTCTTACCCTTTTCAACATCTTGGTGCTCTCAGTCACTACACGAGGCACGCTTGTGAGTGCAACTACTACATAAAGTAGCTAGTTACAGAGGATGGAAAAACACAAGCAATTTACAGATTCCTGCTTGGCCTTTGGAAATAGGGTGGACATTTATTTGACTTCAGTAGTATCAGCTTCTGTCTAAATAGCTTGATATCCCAAACTCATTCACAAAGCAAGAAAGTATTTTTCACCTGTGTCTTCCTATATATTAGACCACTGTTGATGCCTTCATTTACTAGACCTTCCTAGACTGACAGACTCTTCTGATCAGGTTAGGGGACAATTTCACACTTTTTTCATGATACTATGTCGTTAGGCCAATGGAGCAGCTGTCAAGATGCAATACCTTGTGAAGCCTTCCTTACTTTTATGATCATTGCAATGAACTCCATTGGGTCTTATTTTCTATATAAAGTTACTATTTCTGTAATGACATGGAAGTAAATTATAAAAAAAACTGTCCCATTTTGCTTACACATGGAAAAATGTTCTCACAACATAACAAGTGGCAAACAGAATAGGTAACCACAGAACATGCAAGTCTTTTCCTATCTGCTGATGTGTCTACTATTAATTACATTAAAATGATATTTTGATGCCAAGAATTTCAGCAGTCTCACTCAGCTGAACTGCTGTTGCATCAAATACAACTTTTTCAGCATTTCTGTAGAGCTCACGAGTTATTTTTAGACAGTATACATGGCCAGCAAACACATTGCTTCTTGTATATTTTACCTATATTGTCAGTACAGCTGTTCTTATCAAAATGAAACTAGAATTTATGAATGAGTATAACCATGGTTATCAATCACAAGCAGATTGTGTTGCTGTATTGCAGCTCAACAAAATCAACCAGCATCCTGCTTGCATGGAGCATTAGCAACATTTTAGCATTCACGTGCTTTGTGGCAGTTTACCATCTGCTCTGACCAGGTGGCATTTGTATAAACCAGATAATGCCATTGTCAGCACCTGTGCTACACCTCCTGGACTTTGCTCCATATGATCATTTCCAAAGCTCACTGACTTAGACCACTCTTCTGAACATTAACATAATTGCTGAAAGATTACAGTTTTCAATAAAGTAACTGTCTCTCTTACCTTCAGGAGATATTTAGGAGACTGCATGAAAAATACAAAGGAAATGAAGCACTAAGTAGTAATAGACCAAGAAAATAGATTTTGTGTTGGAGAAGAAATCAAAAGAGAAAACTTGTGAAGACAAGATTCAGAATACAGATGGTGCAAAAGGAGACAGATTTCCACAAGGGTGACCACAACAGTTTCAGCATGATTTTGCAATCTCTGATGCTCTTAGCCCAAACTAGGGTGCATGCACTATTATGCATGAAGAAAAAAAAGATGCAGTTGGACTTCAGTTTTAAGAACATTAACAGAAAATTCTATAAAATATCAAAGGATAAAAGCTTTATCAACACAGATAACATCAAACACCTTAAGAGGTCATGTGATAAATTAATAATCAATGACCTAATCAGAATAGCAGGCATGTCCATGGGGAAGACTTTGGGAATGTTTCAAAACCATCTTGGCAAGACAACTGTTGTTTTAGCTTTGGTATCCAAAGTTCTGGTAAAGGTCAGGAAGAAGACAACAACCTTACCAGTGAATACTGACAGTAAGCCCATAATAAATGGTAACATTTATTAGAATTGTCTGTTAGAAGACAGACAATCACAAAGAACACCAACAGCAAAAGCAAATTGTCTGAGGAGTGTACTAAAGCACAATTACCCATGAATTTGAGCTTCTAAATTTGATTCTTGGCTGTCCAGAAAAGCGTAGACTCCAAACTAGAATTTTGTTGGAGTTTCAGTATTCATGAACTCTTAGGTTACAATTTAATAACCGCTGTCAAATGAAGGGCGAGTAATGCTCTACCTTTTGGGCAATACAATAAAACTAGCATCCCCTTTTCACAGCTGTTTATTGTCACTGAACTGGTAGAATCTTATGATGCTTAAGACCATGATTCTGTCAAATATGGTTTACTACAGCCTGCTGGGTTCAAAAGGGGTTTTGTTTTGATTTTGTGGAGGGAAGGGAGTGGGCACCCAGAAAAACAGACGGTCAAAAACATTTACAGAGAACGATGTAATGCAACTTTTTTTTTCCAGAAAAACAGGCTAAAACCAGTACTGTGAGATTCCTTTTCTTTGGAGTTGGAAATTCAGATCTGTACAATCTGTAAGGACTAGGGCCAATTTCAAAATCTTATGGGTGAGACACATTTGAAGGTATTTTTAATAGAATCTGAAGCTTGAGAGATTTTGCTGTAAGAATTTTAGAAGTTTTCTCTCTAGTTAACTTATAACAGTTAACTTATAACATTATATATGTATATGAGAATATGAGGTTATGCAGATTTATGGGAGGGCAATAATCACACATACAGCAGACAATAGACATTAGCATAACTGATAGAACATTAGAATGTCATGATATCATTCTGTGTTTTAAATTACTAGCTGCTTTTTTAAAACTAAAATGGAAAATATTCCAACTGTTATGTCACATTTTTACATGATAATAGTCATGGTGTACAATATACATTTATGTAATTACAGCTGAAATGAAAAACAATTGACCTTAAAAAGACAAACTGTTCCATCACTAAAAAAAGGAACTGCTTATGGTAGTTTTGAAACAGTATTACAAGAATGATTTATAGTATCATGTCACCTTATGAGGTCACTGCAGATTATCATTTTCACATGTTGACCACACCTGCTCTTAGCATGGTATGAAATATGATAAAAAACCAATAAATACACTAAGCAAAAAAGCTCATAAATTAAAATATAAACACAAATTTCCACACTTCAAAATATAATTATTATTTTTTTGGAATCATTTTATTAACTGTAAAATAGTAATTTAAAATATTTTTTCTTGAAGTCGTCATAATTTCATAAAAATTTTAATTAAAGTGATTTTTTTCAGCTAAAAAATTGTAACAATTAATGTTTTCTGAATAGCGTTGCATGTATTATGGATGTATTTTAGCTTCTTCTCTAAAAATGCGAAGGGCAAATGGCCTTAAACACTACTTAGTACGATTGAATGTGTTTATCAAAGCTTTAAAAGAGAAGTGCTGTATTTTATTCCAGCTGAAGCAATAAAATGCATGCTTACAAAGCTTATGATGATATAGCTGGATGTGGAAGACAATGTTTGTATAATATAAAAAAATGTTAAGGCCATAATCTGTCCTTCAGCAGTGAAAGTGTTTAAATCAGGAAGGAAATAAATCTCTCGAATCCGAGTCTTTATTTACAGGTACAGTAAAAGATACAGATGTCTGGGTGACTCATAAGAATTACTGTATTTCAGCATGAGCTCCTTACGACAGGAGAGAATGTAAAGAAGAAACAGAATGCACAAAACATATAATTCTACAGACTTTTGAATAGCTGCTTTGATCAGTTACAACATTAAAAAAAAAAAAAATTGTTTGCTTTGAGGTAAAACAAAAAACCAGCAACCAACTGATCACATTTTAACAGGACTAACTGGAAGTCAGGAGGGAGCATAGATGTTATCAACTTGAGGTGCAAGAGCTCTCCTGACATATTAAAGTGAACTCAATTGGCTATTAACTGCAATAAAATCACCCCATCCTTTGGTAAAATCAAAAAGTGTTTATATTCCATGGTTCTTTTTGCTTTATAAAGAATAGCAGTTTTGCTGAGTGGTTCTTTTCTGGTCATTTGTCAGTTACAAAGGCCCTTTGGTTTTTGAACTTTAGGTTGAACAGAAGAGGAATGGATCTTTGTTCTGTTTTGCCTTCTGTCTGGTTAAACACACAACCAAATTTGAGCTAATTAAATCTCTTTTTAGGCCAAAAATTGCCAGAAGAATGCCTTGAACCCAGTGAAATAAAGAGAAATGTTGCCATCATTATAACTGAGATTTCATTACAAATGTTTAAAGATTAATCACTGGTAAATTGATTCTTCATTCGATTCCACGGGAAAGTCTTCAACAAAACTGGAAACAATGCTCCCAGCTAAGGTATGTTTATTTCTGATATTAAGACATACTCATTTGGTAAGAGCTTCATTATATACCTACATCAGCTAAGCATCATGCCCATAGTCTCACTGTAACATTTTATGAGAAACTACCTATCTTCAAACAGAACACTACCAACCTTAATATGCCCAGCACTAAGCTGTGGGGGCAAAGACCTAGACGCTGCTGTCACTCTGGCTCTTGCCTGTGCCAAGTTACCTGTTCAAAAAGAAAGAAACGCATACTATAAAAATTGTTCAATAATCTTATCTGAGAAAACATGATATGCTTAAAAAAATCATACAACAGAAGTAACAATAGCAGATCCTACCACATTCCTTATATACCCTGCTCATTACCAACCTTGCCTTGATGAGTGTAGGCATGACATGGAGTCTAGGGTTGATTTAAAAGAGAAGAAAAAGACACCAATAAGGTGGCACATTGCTGACCTCAATTACTGATCTGACGAAAACAACAACAGCACAAAAGTGTACAGATCAGTCAGTTGTAATCAATTTCTCTGTGACTCTTTCAGAGATTTAAAAGAGAAAAAGATAGCAGAAAGAATCTTGTTTCTACAAAATCAGTGGATCCTGAAGTGTTTAGACATCATCTTAAGCTCACAAACTAAAGAAAGAGATGAGAAAATGATAAGATAGTATCTTTTCTTGACCTTTTGACATACAGCCTACTTAATCCCCAATCTTATTATCCCTTGGGGTTTTCAAAGACTGACTCAATTCCTCAGGCAAAAACATACTGATGTCAACTGCAAAATGAGTGTTTTTTCTTTAGTTGTACAGTATGATGTATCTTAAACTTTTTCCACTGTACTTGCAAAAGGTCAGTCATCATAAAATAGCTTTTCAAAATAAAGGCTCAGAGGAGAGAGGAAATGATATGGGACTGTGCATATGCAAGACACTCTGTATATTTCAAAGTTTTAGCAAGTCTAGCACAAGATGTCCAAATGTTTTCTCTGGCTATATCTTCAGAGGCTAAACTGTGATTAATAGCATTGAAAGAACCCTTTGAAGCAGGATTGGTGACATCAAAGCCCTAATCCATGGGTGGCAGGATTTTTATAATGAGTGGGAAGCATTTTAACACATTTCAAAGGATTTACAGCATGAATAAACAATAGGCCTCTGCAGATGTACCACACACCTTTCAGAACCAGAACACATAAATAAGTGTCCATTTTAATTTAAATGTAAATAAAGTGTTAACACTTCTTTCAGATGCTAAGTGCCTTGTTTGCATCAACTCCAGTGTTTAGCTATTTGCTTCACAGAAAGCCAGTCACTCTAAACAGTCTTCAGTTTTGATAAACTATATATTACAGAACTAGTAGGGAAGCAGGACGGGAGAAAGAATAAACAAGAACACTTAATCGCTGGTAGTTTTTTATACAGGAGAAGAGCACACACAAAGTGCACATAACACTGAAGGGAACTTTTGCTCGTCCCTGCAAGATGGGGAAGAGTTTGGAGGCCAGCCCTCAGAAACACAGTAATGACATTCTTTAGAGCAATTCAAACATTCTGTATTCATTTTCAAAAGTATGTACCTCTTAAAATGCTGGAATTGGGATTGACGCAATGATGCAAAACTGCTATGTCATTTTCAGATTAAGAGTGTTGGTACCTGACAGTCTAAATCACAGTGCAGAATATCAGGAATGTCCACGATTTTGGAAAATGCTTTAAGGCTATAGTGTTCAGGTTAATGAGAACTACAATTCCATTCTGAAAATCTTGTGTATGTATGCAAATATGCATGCTTACAAATACTTGTGTTTTGAAAATCTTATATATGGATACATACATTCATGGTATACAAGGTGTATGCATCTCTGTTAAAATGAGGACTTTAATGTGGAAGTCATTGGTGAATTTATTTTTCTCTGTTCTAATTCTGATATTTTTATATGTTCAAAATTAGTCATTTTTGCCGTTTTATTACTACTAAAGCAGAAAGTCTGGAAAGGTTGTTTTTGGCTATGCTTAGGATCAGCAATTCAGGTCGTCTTTATGCTTGAAAGCGTTGCGCTGTAGAACTGATGACGCTACATGGGTTAAAACAGCAGAGTGGGGAGAATTAACAAAACTGAATCAGATTGTTTGAAATGACAAATGTTAAAATTTTGTTGCATTTTTAACAAGTTACAAAATTCTAATAACTAATTAAAATTTAGAATCATCAAGGTTTACCACACTCAGAGCTGACATTAGGTTAATTACTATCGATTATTAATATCTCCAAGCTTTCCCTGAACTTTTCACGCAGAACTAAAACTACACTTAACATTTCTGATCTAGAAAAACAGGCAAATTTTTTTTTAATTAGTCAAGTATATTTCATGACTTCACACACAAGAAGGAAATGAAAAAACAGTCAGTTCTTACTTAAAAATGAAAAGCTCTGTGTATCACAGTTTTGCTCATTGGTTCCTTCTTTCTTGGAGTCAGCCAGAACTACATATTTAGGTCACATTCCCAACCCAACAACATCCCCTGACTACCAGTTTGACAGCAGTAGTTTTCAGAATTTGTTCAAATGTATTTATATAAAATACATTATTATTTCCAGTGCCATAACAGGTGTTGAGAAAATAAAGTTTTGTTCTTTACAGACCGAACTGGCCTCAGCTACAAAAAAAAAAACACCACGTATGTTCTTTGTTCTTTCAATTTTTACCTTTTTTTTTTTTTTTTTTCCCTCAGCTTGCCATATTACTAGCTATTTTCATTACACATGAAAACAAAAACTGTTTTGTAGAGAGTTTTAGTTTTACTTTCATCTGAGCATCATCTCTGAATACCTTGCTTGTGTTATTTGCTCCAGGGAAGGAGCTTCTCCAAAACAGAGTTCCTGGTTTTCTTAATGTTACTCAGAAATCTTCACCTACTGTTCTGATATGAGCACACTTTTATTGAATATTTCAGCTTGATATTTACTACTCAGACTATTAAATCAAATAAGAGAAATAAGTTGCCGTATAAGTAAAGTGTGAGGCCTATATGAAACAACTGCTGAATCTTGTCTAGGAGAACTCCTATACATCTGATTGTTTGGTAGTAAGTTACAGACAAGGCAGTGCATAAGCGATCGGGACTGCTCTGCTTGGTTTGCAGTTTTTTTCAATAGGTTTGGAACTGTTAGTTGTTTACCATGAACTACCACTTTTATTCTGGGTATGAACATGCATGCCAGCAATATTCTATCATCTGAGGGTTATGTTCAATATCCTATGCATTTGCTAAGTACTACACTAGTATACATAGTATGGTCAAAGTACATAATAGTTTACCTTAGCATGACTACAGTTTACTACTGGGAAAAGCTAATTTCAATCATAATCAATGATTTGCTGTCTATTTTGCACTAATAATTTCATTTTTCTTCTTGGCAAAAGTAAAGACTAAGCTAAGAATAAGACCAATATTTATTTATGAATTTTTATCTGTTCTTATTTCATATGTCAAATGATCTCCATTGTAACTGTTAACTACTCAATTGTAGCATAATTTGAAAGCCACAGAAAAAATGTTATCAGGGTTTTCTTTTCCAGATCAAACATAAAATGATGTTTCAGTAAAAGTTCATCTTAACTAGCTAATGTTCAGGAAAATGACTACCTGCAACTTGCCCAACCAATAAAACTAAAAACAAACGCAGCTTGAAAATTAGTTTACATAATAAGAGATGTTTTACCCAGAATTAGAGTGATGTTTATAATCAGTAAACATTCAGAGTACCTGTCCCTGCACTTGATTTTCATTTAAAAGGTCATTTATTATTTTACACACCAGAAATAGTAAAACGTTATTCCACTTTGTGAAGAACATCAATATTTGAAGAACAAATATTTTTAGATAATATCATAGCCAGTTAAAAAAAAGCTCCTTGCAAGGTTAAGCTGGTTAAAGGTTAAAAGACTGCACTGTGCCTGTCAGAATTCTGGCTTCACACACATTGTATGATCAGCACTTCAGACAAAACACAAGTGACGAGCTCATAGAGTTAAATAAAATACTACCCATACTAGATCCAATGCCACAAAATGGACAAAATAAGAAACTTAAAACTCCCTCAAAATTTTCTGAGTTTTTTGTAGTTTTTGACTAGGACTGATCTTATAAATATGTACATGTTCAACTCTATTCACATGCATTTCCTTTTCAGTTTGGCTGGACTGCTTATCTGAACAATGAAGGCTCCTACCTGTGTGTCTGCAGTGCCAGAGACAAAGGTTTCTGGGATTGATTTGTGTCAGTAGGGGAATCAGCCAGCCCCAACGTTTCTCTTTTTTCCCGTCTGTATAATAAAGTTAGGAGTGTCATTAGTGCTTCGTGACTTTTCAGTCATTACAGTCTGTGAAAGGCTCCGAGAGCTTCCATCAGAAAGAAGCAGCAGTACAAAGTCTATCCAGTCACTGCTAAGCTCACTGTCTCTATACTCAGCATAAACTTTGCCTTGAAACTGCAGAGGAAAACTGCTATTTCTTCAAGAATATTCTCATTACAGCTAGGTGAGAAAGACAGAGATGTCAAAGAACCATATCCCTTCCACTATACAAGCCCAAGCAGGAAAGTATGTCAAGTATTTACATAGTACAGAATGAAGATATGAGTTGCCTTTTTCAAGTTGGACTTTGGAAGCACTCTCTAGATTTTAGAAAAGACAAGTCTGCATTCATGGATTCGCTCCTGCATCCCTAGCACTTACTATGTGATCTGGTAAAATTAGTGATTTCTCAAGCCATTGACTTTCCACACCAATCAGGAGAAGTTCACTCTCTGGCTGGAGGTTCTGATGTTGCTTAACATTTGTTATTACTCCACTATTCTTAGGTGATGTTTTCTACAAGTAGTATCAAGCAAATATTACTAATATTAGCACTGTAATTGTAACTACATTTTGGTTATGCCTGCTGTAGACCACTCCTCCCTTCCAAAGTAAAAGCATGCCAGGTAAGAATTACTGTACGCTTTGATATAACTTCTAGTTTGTGAAGTGCAAATGACTTACAGGGAGAGAGTCTAGTGACAATGTCACCTTATTGTACAAGCTGTACCATAGATACTACTATTATAGAAAGGGCACAGTACAAGCTCTTTCCTTATCCTCATATATTTTATTAATTTCATTCACGCTTCCGGTTCAGATAAAGAGGAGTTACTTGCAGATACAGTGTAATATGGTTGGAAATG